AGGGACCGGTTAATCTCTCAGATTACCTGGCCTGGCATGGTCTAAATTACATGAGATACCACCGTGGTAAAGGTCTTTCAAAATGCCTCCAGCAGTTGATGCGTTTGCTTTTGCAGAACCTCGGTCAGCGTATCTTCCAGCCATGGGGTTTCTTCTTCATTTAGGTCAGGCACCTGGGGCCCTAGAGCAGGTTCCAGTGGGCATGGGGTAATCAGTAGTGCCTCACTCTCCTTTCACGGTTTTAGGAGGTTCATGTGATATATTTGCTTTTTTTTCCAGTCTGGTTTGTGCACTTCTTGCTGTGTGATCTCATAGGGCCCTTGCCATCGCACAAGGATTTTAGATTCCTCAAAGAGGAGGAGAATAAGCACTTGGTCCCCCAGCTCAAAAGTTCTTTCTTGGGCTCCCTGGTTATAGTATCACCGCTGGGTCGCTAGAGCTGCCTGGAAGTTCTCACACGCTAACGTCCCTGTCCGGGCAAGTTGCTCCTGCAACCTCCCTTCAGGGACATGTACTGGAGGAGCCACTGAGGGGGTGCTTTCCCAGGTCTCCCTCATTAAGTCCAACACCTCCCGAGGATGACAACCATAGAGGAGCTCGAAAGGGGAGAACTGCGTTGATGACTATGGCACTTCCCGGACAGCTAACAACAAGGGAGGAAACAATTGGTCCCACTGCTGCAGTTCGGTTGGGGAAAATTTTCACAACATCCCCTTTAGAGTGCGATTAAATCACTCAACTAAGCCATCTGTCTGTGGGTGGTACACTGAAGGATGGAGATTGCAGATGCCCAGGAGTGCATAGACCTGCCGAAGCAAACAGGAGGTAAAATTTGTCCCTTGATCCGTGAGCAATTCTGGGGGAAGGCCCACCCTGGCAAAAACCTTTACTAATTCAGCGGCAATAGTGCGGGCCATTGTACTCAATGGCGGGATAGCCTCTGGGAAACGGGTTGCATAGTCTACCAGAACCAGAATGTATTTGAATCCTGCCTTGCTCCTCTGGCATGGGCCTACCAGGTGCAGCACAATGTGTTCAGATGGGGTACTGACTACTGGCATAGGTACCAGCGGGGCCCGTGGAACCCCGTGGTTAACACCTAACTGGCACTCTGGACATGACTGGAAGTAGTCCTTTACTTCCTGGTAAACACCTGGCCAGAAAAACCAGGACAGCACCCATTCCAGGGTCTTGTCTTGGCCCAGGTGTCTGGCAGCGGGGATGTTGTGTGTGAGTCCCAGGACGGCTTACCGGTGGCAACAAGGGACGACTAATTGGGACCCAACTTCTCAGATCTGTGGGTCTCGGTCCATCTGATACAAGTGGTCAGATACCATCTCAAAATGGAGCCACTGCTCGGCTGCCTGGGAATCAGTGACAGCCCCGTTGACGTGGGCCACTTGATCGTAGGCAAACCATAATGATGGGTCCTCTCGCTGGTCTTGGGGAAAGTCAACCAGGCAAGTAGGCCCCAAGTCCTCCCTAAAGGGGCCCTCAGGTTGGCTCGGACCCGCAGGTCCTTCCATTTCTTCTACTTCTTCTTCCCTACCTGCAGTGAGCCGTATGCCTGAGATGGCCGACAACCTCCGGCTGACCTGACTGTCTGTAGGGGCATACTGTGTGGCTGGGGACTGGAGACTGATTCTGTGGATAAGATCAGTAAACCTCGGCCAGTCTTGGGGCCGAGTGGGGCCCACTCCCACCACCATTTCCTCGGTTACGCTGTCTGCACCTCCCCCACTGTATTTTGAGACCATTGCTCCTTGTTCTGCCATTCATCACTACTGTGAACAGCCTTTCTCCATCCTCTTTGAAACCTCCCTTCAGGAAGTTGAAGGCTGCCATCAAATCAGCCCTCATTCTTCTCTTCTGCAGACCAAACAAACCCAACTCCCTCAGTCTCTCCTCATAGGTCATGCGCTCCACCCCCTAATCATTTTGGTTGCCATCCGCTGGACCCTCTCCAATGCATCCACATCCTTTCTATACTGGGGGGCCCAGAACTGGACACAATACTCCTAATGTGGCCTCACCAGACCTGAATAAAGGGGAATAATCACTTCTCTGGATCTGCTGGCAATGCTCCTCCTAATACACCCTAATATGTCATTAACCCTCTTGGCTACAAGGGAACACTGTTGACTCATATCCAGCTTCTCATCCACTGTAACCCCCAGGTCCTTTTCTGCTGAACTGCTACTTAGCTATTCAGTCCTCAGCCTGTATCAATGCTTGGGATTCTTCCGTCCCAAGTGCAAGACTCTATACTTGTCCTTGGTGAACCTCATCAGATTTCTTTTGGCCCAATCCTCTAATCTGTCTAGGTCACTCTGGACCCTATCTCTGCCCTTCAGCGTATCTCCCTCTCCCCCTAGCTTAGTGTCATCTGCAAACTTGCTGAGGGTGCAATCCATCCCCTCATCCACGTCATTAATAAAGATGTTGAACAAAACCAGTCCTAGAACAGATCCTTGGGGCACTCCTCTAGAAACTGACCGCCAACCAGACATCGTTGGGCCCGACAGTCTAGCCAGCCTTTTATCCATCTTACAGTCCATTTATCCAGTTCATATTCCCTTAACTTGCTGACAAGAATATTGTGGGAGACCATATCAAAAGCTTTGCTAAAGTCAAGGGCTGTGTCTAGACTGGCAAGTTTTTCCACAGAAGCAGCTGCTTTTGCGGAAAAACTTGCCAGCTGTCTACACTGGCCACTTTAATTTCCGCAAGAACACTGACGATCTCATGTAAGAAATCAGTGCTTCTTGTGGAAATACTATGCTGCTCCAGTTCGGGCAAAAGCTTTTGCGCAAAAGGGCCAGTGTAGACAGCTCAGATTTGTTTTGCGCAAAAAAGCCCCGATCGTGAACATGGCGATCGGGGCTTTTTTTGTGCAAAAGCGCATCTAGATTGGCATTAGAAGTGCCAAGAAGCACGTATAGAAGTGCTTTTGCGGAAAAGCGTCCATGTCAATCTAGACGCTCTTTTCCGCAAATGCTTTTAATGGAAAACTTTTCCGTTAAAAGCATTTGCGGAAATTCATGCCAGTCTAGACGTAGCCAAGGTGTATCACATCCACTGACTTGCCCTTTGTGAGTCCATGTTGACTATTCCTGATCACTTTCCCCTCTTCCAAGTGCTTCAATCCTCTCCATGATTCTTCCAGGGACTGAGGTACGGTTGACTGGTCTGTAGTTCCCTGGATTGTCCTTCTTCCCTTTTTTAAAGATGGGCACTACCTTTGCCTTTTTCCAATGATCCAGGATCTCTCCCGATCTCCATGAGTTTTCAAAGATAATGGCCAAAGGCCCTGCAATGACATTTGCCAACTCCCTCAGTACCCTCGGATGCATGAAATCTGGGCCCATGGATTTGTGTATGTTTAGCTTTTCTAAATAGTTCCTAACCTCTTCTTTCCCCACCGAGGCCTGTCGATCTTCATCCCATCTTGCGTCACTTAGTGCATTAGTCCGGGAGCCCACCTTGTCCGTGAGTACAGAGGCAAAGAAAGCAAGAAGTACCTCAGCTTTCCCCACATCATTTGTCATTAGGTTACCTCCTTCATCAAGTAAGGGCCCCACACCCTCTCTGATCACCCTCTGATTGCTAACGTGTCTGTAGAAACCTTTCTTGTTATCCTTCACATCCCTTGCTAGCTGCAATTCCAATTGTGCTTTTGCCTTTCTGATAACTCCCTTGCATTCTCGAGCAATATATTTATACTCTTCCCTCATCATTAGTCCAAGTTTCCACTTCTTGTAAACTTCCTTTTTGTGTTTAAGCTCACCAAGGATGTCCCCGGTAAGCCAATCTGGTCACCTACCATATTTGTTTTTCTTGCGGCGCATTGGGATGGTTTCTTCCTGTGCCTTTAATAAGGCTTCTTTAGAATACTGCAAGCTCTCCTGGACTCCTTTCCCCTTCATGTTAGCATCCCAGGGAATCCTGCCCATCAGTTCTTTTTGACCTCAGAAATGGCTGAACTTCTGAAATCACCTGTACAGTCTCTCTATTGCCATCTATGCCTTTTGTCAACAAGCTTTTAGCCTTCTTGCTGTTCCTGGTGAAAAACCAATTTCTCAAGCTGTTGTGAAACCTTCCAGACCCAGGGTCCTGCCTTGAGTTTGGACTTTTAGGGGGAAATCTGGGTCCCCAATGAGAGCTTTGTCATTAATTTCAGGGTAGCTAAGATTTCACCCCTGCTTTTCACGTCCCTGCTTGCGAGCCCTGAGACACCATCAAGAAATTCTACACCAGATCCACTAATTCTTTTCCAATGCCAAGCGAGGGGCAACAAGGATATATCCCTTGCCCTGCCTTTCCCCCAGCAGTTATAGGTCCAACAGCCTGGCCAATGGGATCCCCAACCAATTATTTCAAGATTTCACATTTGAGGTGGGGAGGTACAGGAAATCTGATTGGGTGGACCTTGGCAATGAACCCTGAGGCTTTTTCACCTACCATAGAGGGCTGGAAGGGTCTGTTTTTGCTGGCCACCCCTTCCACTTGTAAAGCAACTTGAATGATACAAAACAATCCCTATCCTACGGCTTGAACCTACCAGCTTCAGCCAGGAGTGAGAAGTAGAACTCAAACATGAAAACCTGCTCTTCCCATATGACAGCATGTTGTATTATTCACTGAGTTATCTCACGGCTATACTTTTGCTGCAGATCTGTCCACCAAGGGGTAGGACTTTGTTACTTGCTTTGATAACACTGCTGTTTTTCCTAATTCTGAGTGGTTATGAATACTCAAACATAAAGGGGTCTGCAGGACTCATCCTCAATTTGTTGGCCAAGTTCAGTAACAGAACCTAGAGAGCTTTTCTCACACTGCCAAATTCAAAAGAGAACTGACTCCTGGCTAATAGCCAAGACCAGGGTAAGTACTGCAAAACTATATTTGAAATAGGATCATGGTTAGCAATTCCTTTTAAATTAAAAGTCTATATTTGGCATTAAACTATTTTATTTGAGCATTATATTGCTGTATTTCAGGGTCCTGTCCTTCACTAAATGAAAACAAAGACGAAGAATTGGGCCATCAAACTGTGCATGAAATAATCCAGGATTTTTTTTCCTGGCTCCTTCACAAGGATTCTGTTGCCAGATTCGACCACGTTGGCAGGATAATTCCTGTAAGTCATGGAAATTGCAAGCTTCGTGACACACACACATTTGATTCTAAGTCCTAGCCAATAACATTAAATGCAGTAAAGAACCAGATTTTTATCCAAGCCTTTTATTAGCATCTGGAATCTGAGAGCTGATGTCAGATCAGACATTACACAAAAGTTCTCTCAAATGGGAAAGGAGACAGGATTTTATGAAAAAAAAACTGATGGCTTTTATCTTGATCTGAGACATGTAATCACTTGCCAACCTATCTTGCATTTTCTCATATAGGGACCAATCCAGGAAAGCACCGTACAGCCATAACTCAGTATAAAGCTTTAGAGCTCAACCCCCTTTGGCAGTTTTTAAATGGGTAGCAATGCCTACATACCTTCAAATATCTGGGCCTTCAAGCCTTGAGAGTCAGCACCAGCACCTTAAATGGACCCTGGAAATCCAGAGGCAACCTGTGAAGACTCCAAAACACTAGAGCAGTGATCATCAATCAGTAGATCTGGATCTACCGGTAGATCCTGGAGTCTCTGACTGGTGATTCTGTTTGTACTGGCCAGAAGGCTATCACGTGTTGGCACATCTACTACCCCTCTCTCTGGCTTTTCCTGCCCTCTGCCTTGGATCTGACCTGGGAGCCTCCTGCTTCCTCTGCAGGGTGTGGGGAGACAGAAAAGGGGGCACTGATGTCAGGATGTCCCCCTCCCTCTACCCATATACCTCATCTCCACAGAGAGGGGAGATATGACAGGGCTCGGGATGAAGGGAGTTGGCTGGCACGTGTTCCTATATCTGAACATGCTCAGCATACTTAAAGGGGCAATGCGAATCTGTCACGCACACACAGCGTACACACTAACCTCCCAACCCAACACACACTTGAGTTGCTGTTGTTACTTCTTTCACTTCTTTCCTAGTGTGGTATTTCAGGTTTTTGACTGGTCTGTGCCGTTCACAATTTTTATTTCCCACTTAGGCTTAAATTTAATTCTTTAAGTAGTGAGTTCTAAAACGCCGAACCTGCCATGCAGGAGTAATTAATCCCTACAGTTATTTTAAAAAATATATAGCAAGGTGTTTGGTTTCTACTTGTGATACCCTTCTGCACAGTACCTCCATATTGGTGAACATAACAAAATACAGTCCCTCTAATTTTTTCCATCTCTGGGTGCATCTACACTGCACCATTATTCCAGAAAAACAATAATAGCATCCACAGAGCAACTGCGTTAATTTGAAAGAAAATCGAAATAGTGGAGGGCTTTTTCCAACATTGGTAAACCTGCCTGCTCTTATATCCTCTCTTGCTCCTGCACCCTCCCCCTGGCCAGAAACCCTGCTCCTGCACCCTTCTCACCCAGACCTTACACCCTCACCCCCTTCTGCACTCTCCCAGATCCTACACCCCATTCCTATCTCACTCACTGGCAGCCCTGTCCTGAACCCCTCATTTCCCCTCCCCCCATCCCAGAGCCTAAAACCCACTAACTCCAGAGCCCCAGAAGAGTAAATCTGGCCTATGGGAAGCCCTGAATCTCAGTCTTCCCTGTCTCTTCCCTTCGCTCCCTGGGGCTGCAGGCTGGATTGAGGTGTCTCAGTTGGGGGCCACATCAGTGAGGGTTGCGGGTTTTTGGAGGAGTTTTTTTTGCTTCTCACTTGTGTGATACCCAAATGATTTTTCTGTGGGTCAGTGGCCCCGACACAAAAAAGGTTCCCCACCCCTGCCATAAATAAAGAAAACATTGAAACCTTTTGTTGGACATAAATTAATATTTTATTTAAAATTAAGTTTGATAAACTAACATGAGAAAGTTAAAGCACTTACTCTGTTTAATAATTGAAATTAAACCAGTCTTCCTAGCTACAGCACTAGCAAAATGGCTTGGGAGTAATTAACAACTGGTGGTCCACGAAATTGAATCAGGTGGTCCACAGGCCAAAAATTTAAGAACCACTGAGATAGAGGAATCCCACAGGCATATAATTCTTAAGCAGAAAGTCAGACAAAGATGACAATTCATAATGGAACTTTTTGGCCTTAAATGTATATATATATATATATATGTATATAAATTATTGTAAATATAGGGTTTGTAATCAGATATAATTGTGTGTGTATATACATATCAACTATAATGATCTTTTAAACAAATCCCATTGGTGCTGATAGTTTTCAGGTTCTGATCACCATCTCTCTTTGTTAATGTAGGGCTTAAATAAACAGATACACCACTCCCTGGTTGCTTCTAAGGATATTTGGAACAACTCTTGCTGTCAGTTTACTTCTGTTCCATCTATCTAGCTACTGTGGGATACAATGTGGCTACGTGTACTTTGGAGAAAAAGAATCTGGGTCTGTTCCAGTTATAGACAGGCAACCCATTATTTCTCTGTGCTATATTTAGGTTCTCTGTCCTTGTAACTCTTAGCTTTCTTTTTGCGGTGTAGCTACTAATCTAACTGAATAGAAGATCTCTGGGAGAAGCGTAAATTAGCAATCACATCTTATTGTAAGAGAAAAGCTGATCTTGCTTGTGAAATAAAACGCTCTTCTCCAGTCCCTGTCTTTGTTCAACACAGCATGATTAGCAATAGATATAAATAGGGACTCTTGTCTCTACCTCCGATGCACCAGATATTGATCATTTGTCTAATCCACATTGGCAAATTTCCCTTCTCTAAAATGATGTTGTACCAATCAAACGTTATTATATTGACAGAAATAACTATATTAAAATCTCAGACATGTTTAACAGTATATAAGTACTAATGGAAACAAAGGGACAAATGTGCATGTTCAGAGGTGCACCTACTGCACCCCATTTTGATGAGCAATTATGGCTGTGTGCATGCAGATGTCAAGGTCTGCACACTCGTGTATGTGCATGCACGCAGCCATGGAACTGGTCCTGCCTAGAGCAGGGGGCTGGACTTGATGACCTTCTGAGGTCTCTTCCAGTTCTATGATTCTAGGATTCTATGACACAGACCCACGCTGCAGTGGGATATTTCTGTTCTTGTTGGGCATGTTCAGAAATTTCACTCTACTTTTGTGTGCAGCAATTTGAAAGTCTGGCCTTCACCTGCCAGATTTATACAGGCAGTCCCCGGGTTACGTACAAGATAGGGACTGTAGGCTTGTTCTTAAGTTGAATTTGTATGTAAGTCGGAACTGGTACATATTGTAGGGGAAACTCTAGCCAAACATTTCTCCAGAGCTCAGTTTTATTCTCCCACACCTCACTTCCCTCAGTCCTTTATTCTCAAGCTGAGGTGTCTGCTGAGAAAAGCCGCTCCGCGTCTCCCTGGTCTGCTGGGGGGAAGCAGCTAATGTGGGGTTGCCTCACCCCATTTGTAAGTAGGGATCTGATGTAAGTAGGGATCCGATGTAACCCAGGGACTGCCTGTATTTGTTTTTGAATGACATGGAGAGGACTGAAGAACTAAGGAAGCCCCACAATATTATCAAGGTCTTTTTTTTCTTTTTAAATACGAGATAAGGTTTTGCTTATAGTGTTACACTATATTCTTCTAGGACACAATGATGGGATATTTTATATTTTTGCAGAGGAGGTGGAACAACAACTATATTATAGAGAGGTTTTAAGAACAGTTGGATTTCCTACTGGTAATATGAACAGCAACATGTTCTAAAGGTCAGAGCAGATGACTATAATCCAGGCCCTCCTGAGTTCAACGCCTTGCTTAGCTATTGGTTTGCAGTTTAGTTCTTAGTAAAGTACTTCATGAGTCTCAGCATTGCCATAAGTAAAACAAGAAAGTTAATATCTTCCTCCTGTGTGTCTGATGGGTGTTAATTTTTACCAGAGTGCTTTGAAGACATTAAGTACTCTGCACTGATGTATGGTGTGTTTATTTGCAGATGGCCATGTGTTCTGAGCAGCTCACCAAACTCAGCTTTTAACATTCCTTGCAAGAAGTGCAGAGACAATGAGAGTTCGGCTCAAAAGGGATGTGATCTGCACCCTTTTTTTGGTGGTTGTGCTTTGCTCTTTATTCTATTCCCAGTTAGAGCATACACCCTTAACAGGAAGCAGGAAACAAACACACAAGAAACCTGCACCAACACCGAGGATCTTCCCAGGCCATCAAGCCCCTAAGTGGCACCCTCAAGCAGAGGTGACGTTTGACCATTCCCAAATCATTTCTATTGCTAAAGATGTGGAGGTGACAAGTAAACAGGCCCAAACAACCCCTTTGCCACCACTGACTCATTCTGTCTTTGATTTCAAACGCTACCTTCTAAATAAGGATAATCGGAATTTCAATCTTCTCATTAATCAGCCCAAGAAATGCAGGAAAACACCTGAAGGTCCCTTCTTGCTTATAGCCATAAAATCAGTAGTTGAGGACTTTGACAGACGCGAGATCGTCCGTAGGACTTGGGGTAGGGAGGGTTTGGTGAATGGGGTGCAGGTTCAAAGAGTTTTCCTCCTGGGAATACCAAAGAATAAGACAGCATTGGCAACATGGGAGATCCTTGTCCACCAGGAGAGTGTGATGTATCAGGACATTTTACTCTGGGACTTTCTGGACACCTTCTTCAACCTGACCTTGAAAGAGATCCACTTTCTAAACTGGGCTGATGAATTTTGTTCCAGTGTGAAATTCATTTTTAAAGGGGATGCTGATGTTTTTGTCAATGTGGAGAACATCATTGACTTTCTTGAGATATATGACCCTGCAAAAGACCTCTTTGTTGGGGACATTATCTACAATGCTCATCCAATCCGCATGAAAAAGAGTAAATACTACATCCCAGAAACAATGTATGGGCTAGGCACGTACCCAGTCTATGCAGGGGGAGGAGGCTTCTTACTGTCCAACAGCACCATGAGAAAGCTCTTTCAGGCTTGCCAAGAGGTAGAGCTCTTCCCAATTGATGATGTCTTTCTGGGCATGTGCTTGCAGAGAATCAATCTCAAACCTGTTTTGCATGAAGGATTCAAGACATTTGGCATTGTGAAACCCTCTGCTGCCCCACACCTGCAGACATTTGATCCCTGCTTTTACAAAGATCTCATGGTAGTCCACAGTCTAAAAGTAGCTGAAATCTGGCTAATGTGGAACCTCCTTCATAATCCAGAGCTCTCCTGTACCCAAAAGAAAAAGGTGAAGAGGCCTTTCCAATGGAACAGGAAAAGCAATGTCAAGCAGCAGCCAAAAGCAGGTTAAACACGGCAGAAGCAGATGATGAACCAAGCTCGGAGGAACCCAACATGCTGCTTTCGCACATCTTGTTTAAAAGATTTGGAGAGAAGGTCATACTATTGGAGACATTTGCCAGAATTCCACATCTGCACACGCTATTTGTAGTAGGACATTTTCCTTAATCTGATTCCAAGCAATTCACAAAAGTAGGTTTAATTTATTATTATTTATTAGTATGTCAGTAATGCTCAAAGACCTCCCCCCCACCTAGGATTATTGTGCTGTACCAAACACATAGTAAAATACAGCCCCCAAAAGCTTATCATTTGAGATTTAATGTAAGTGAATGTGACATATAAGGAGCAGGGTAGGGTGGGAGATGAGGGCAAGAGTTGTGAAGATAAAAAATAATTTGCTATATAGGTCTGGGATTTCTGAGAGCCATCAAGAATTGGGCAATAGCTAAAATAAAGAAAATCGGCTCTCCCCAGCTGATGCACAAACCAAACCACTGTTGCTGGCTGCTTGGAGGTATCAGTGGAGGTGGGTTTTGATGAAGAAGAGGGCAGTAATAGTATGGGGGCTACATGCAGAATGGGAGGGAGGAAACAAAATTGGAAGTTGAAGATGTCATTGTCGGCAGACCAAGGACGGATAGGGAAAAGGCAATTACAGATAAATACGAAATGTTAGGGCTGTGAAGAGCACTGAAGGGGAGGAGTGCCCGCATGTACCTTCCCTCCCTTGTGACGCACAACAAGGGTATCTAAAACGGCCCGGGTGAAAACCTCTCACTTCTTTACTGCCAAGCCTTATATAGAATACGGAAGTAGAGGGGAGGAAGACAAGTTGTGGAGCGCCTATAGGGGGACACATCTCCAAAAACTATTGTTACTAGCAATGTTAAATATTGGCTAATTGAATAGTCAACTAATCTTATGAATTCTTATCAGTTACTCGACTATTCTATACTCCCCAGGCATGGAGCTGGCAGCCAGTGTGCTCCGGCCCCACTCCCAAGGAACCCCTTGCCTTTGTATCAGAGGCAGAAGCGTGGGGTACCAGGTAGGAGCTGATCCGCAAGAGGAGCCAGTTTAAAAAACAGGTCCCCTTGTGGATTGGCTGCCTGTCACCCAGTGCTGCTGCCTCTGATACAGTGTGTATATGTATCACTGGGAGATGGGTCGGAAATGGGAGGGAGTGTGGGCAGAGAGAAAGGAGGGTCAGGGCAAAACTGGGAGGCAAGGTCAAATCAGGATCTTAGATGATTATATACAAATGCGAGAAATATGGGAAATAAGCAGGAAGAAATGATAGTACCAATAAATAAGTACAATTATGACATTGTTGGCATCACAGAAACTTGGTGGGATAATACACAAGATTGGAATGTTTGTATAGAAGGGTACACCTTGCTCAGGAACGACAGACAGGGAAAAAAGGGAGGAGGTGTTGCCCTATACATTAAAAATGAACACACTTGGAGTGAGGTAGAAGTGGGCATAGGAGACGGAAATGTTGAGAGTCTCTGGGTTAGGCTAAAAGGGATTAAAAACAAAGGTGATGTCATGCTAGGAGTCTACTGCAGGCCCCCTATCCAGGTGGAAGAAGTGGATGAGGCTCTTTTTAAACAACAAAATCATCCAAAGCTCAAGATTTGGTGATGGGGGACTTCAACTATCCAGATATATGTTGGGAAAATAACACTGCGGGGCACAGACTATCCAATAAGTTCTTGGACTGCATTGGAGACAACTTTTTATTTCAGAAGGTTGAAAAAGCTACCGGGGGGAAGCTGTTCTAGATTTTTATCCAATAAGTTCTTGGACTGCATTGGAGACAACTTTTTATTTCAGAAGGTTGAAAAAGCTACCAGGGAGAAAGCTGTTCTAGATTTGATCCTAACAAATAGGGAGGAACTGGTTGAGAACTTGAAAGTGGAAGGCAGGTTGGGTGAAAGTGATCATGAAATCATAGAGTTCACAATTCTAAGGAAGGGTAGAAGGGAGAACAGCAAAATAGAGACAATGGATTTCAGGAAGGCGGATTTTGGTTAGCTCAGAGAGCTGATAGGTAAGGTCCAATGGGAATGGAGACTGAGAGGAAAGACAACTGAGGAGAGTTGGCAGTTTTTCAAAGGGACATTGTTAAGGGCCCAAAAGCAAGCTATTCCGCTGTGTCGGAAAGATAGAAAATATGGCAAAAGATCGCCTTGGCTTAACCACGAGATCTTGAATGATCTAAAAATAAAAAAGGAGTCATATAAAAAATGGAAAGTAGGACAGATTACAAAAGATGAATATAGGCAAACGGAAGACCAAGGAGAGGGTAGGCCCACTGCTCAGTGAAGAGGGAGAAACAGCAACAGGAAACTTGGAAATGGCAGAGATGCTCAATTACTTCTTTGTTTTGGTCTTTACCGAGAAGTCTGTAGGAATGCCTAACAGTGAATGCTAGTGGAAAGGGGGTAATTTTAGAAGGTAAAATAAAAAAAGAACAAGTTAAAAATCACCTAGAAAAGTTAGATGCCTGCAAGCCACCAGGGCCTGATGAAATGCATCCTAGAAACCTCCTCTATCAGCTCCTTGAGTAATCTGAGCCTCTAGCTATCATCTTAGGAAGGAACAATCAGTTTCACATATACAGAATGGGAAGCGACGGTCTGGGAAGCATATGGCAGAAAGGGATCTAGGGGTTATAGTGGACCACAAGTTGAATATGAGTCAGCAGTGTGATGCTGTTGCAAAGAAAGCAAACATGATTCTGGGATGTATTAACAGGTGTGTTGTGAGCAAGACACGAGAAGTCATTCTT